TGAGAGTTCTGAGGCTTGATTACATGTGACTGTGGGAATTTTTTCCTTAATCTCCTGAAGGCAGAGTGATTTAGGAATGCAGAGTAGAATTGTCGAGTATGTGGCCTTACTTTAATATTTTCTGTAACTTCAGTGCTCATGTCGGAAGGACATGGTGAAGATCTCCATGGATGTGTTTGTGAGGAAGTACCAGCCAGATCGTTACAAGCTTTGGAAAGCTGGGAAGGACGTGACCGTCATTGATCATGCGCTTCCAACCCCAGAGGCAGCAGAATTCCTTAAAGGGGATCTCATGCAAAAAGTCAAGAGTGGAAAACAGTGTGTGGAGGAGATGGACACAGAAGAGATGTGTAAAGAAGAGGTGGATGGGGATGAGACAAAAAGGTAGTGCTTTATATAGTCCTCTGCTTTTCTGTTTGATTATTAGAGTTTGGGCCCAGCTGCAATTGAATGTTTGCTATTCTGATAGAACAGCAGTCAGAGTTAGCAATAATCTTTTGTCCTGGGAGCAGGGTTTACTCTTAATATTTTTTACTGTTCGAGTCCACATCGATGCTAGGCTGTGGTAGCAGGAAACACACCAGCTTGGAAGGTAGTTCTTCATCTTGGGACAGACCTCCAGAGCCTGGATTGGCAGTGTGCACTGAGATCCAGAAGAGAAAAGGGTGTATTGAGATCATGGGACAGTACTTCATAGCAAATTTTGGTACAATCAGTGCTGCAACCTGTGACATTGGTGTGCAGTTCCTGGTTACCGTAGTTCAACCTACAGTAACCTTAATCATCTTAGATTTTGCAGTTAAATCTTTCTGATTCGATGTCAGCTACTGCTCCTACAGCTATTTTTGGTGGTGGGAGTTTTTTGTTGTTGTCTTAGTTTGTTTGGGGTTTTGTTTGGAGGGTTTTTTTTCTTTAAGGTAAAGAATGCCTGGCTAGAGCATAGCTGCCTAGTACATATGATTCACAGATGCTGAGCAGTCATCTCTAAGGATTACTGACTTTTCTTCTGTAAAGGTGAAGAAAACACTTCAGAATAATTTGGAAACTATTTGGCTTGCCAGATACTGTCTCATAAAACACTGATCCAAACCAGACTTATTTTATGCATTTGGACAGAAATTCAACGCACTTCTGTGTTTGCTAACCTGACACGTGGATTTGTCTTCTGCAGCATCCCCAAGCATCGCATAGGAACAAAAAGGCATAGGGTCTGCCTGGAAGTGCCTCAGGAGGTGAGTGAGAGTGAGGCCTTCCCCAAGGAGGAGCTGAGCTCCACACAGTACGAAGCAGACATGGCAGAGCCTCATGAGAGGCCTACAGGTGAACTTGTGCAGCAAGGTGAACAAAGGCTCAAGCTTCCAGGTAACTGTCTGTCAGGCTTTATCCTGGTATGAGGGGATGGGATGTTACTCCTCAAGGAGAGAAGCTGCTAGAGCTGAATCCAGGGCAGTCTTGTTTATGATGCTAGTTGGTGTCCACAAAAGCAGACAGTAGTTTGTCAGAGCCATGACAAGCACTTCAGAAATTTACTGTCATAGGACTTGAAATACTACCATTTTCTAGCTTTTGACTTTTGCTCTTTTGATTTTACCTGCCTGCATACAGAAATGTATCGGGTGCCTCAGGAGTCTAAGCTCATCTGTATCCCTCTTGAGCAATGTGACCTGTTTATAGGAATTGCTTAGTAAAACATATGCAAACTTCCTGGTAGTGTAGGTCTGGTATGCTGTATAGGTGTGTTACCTGTAATTTTGTAATAAGTAGGCTGGAGGAAAATTCATGTGGCTTGTAATGGGTCACTTATCCTTGCTGTTAGGGGAGGAGCAAGGGGCCTATAGAACAACATAGGAACAGAAAAAACGTATGTGATGCCTCCCTGTAGTATTTGTTTTCCAGCCCTTCACTGCTTGTATTTAATAACCTTCTATTCGTTTGCGGGTTTTTATTTTTCTTCTGTTAAGTCTCCCATGAACGTTTGTAACCTCTTACCCACAGCATCATGTGGCCAGGAGTTGGGCTGTTTAGCTGCATACATGGCTGTATAAAGGATCATCTCTGTTTATTTTGAACTCAGTCTGCTGGGCTTGTTTGATATGCCCTAGTTTTTGTGCTGGAAGAGGCAATGAGCAGTTGCTTTTATTCTGTCTCTCTACGCCACCCATGATTTTATAGGTGTTTGAATTAATGATCTTTACATGATTTAATGGCACTTTTTTGTGTGTATCAGTTTGCTCTCCTGTTTGGCTTTGTGCAAATAGTTGCACAAATGTGTTTCTCTCTACCCAGACTTCAGAAAATTCAGTATATCCTTTCTTCCATCCAGATCGAGTGTACTCAGCCAGGTTTGAAGAATTGAAAATGGTGAAGCTTGAGGAGAAAGAAGAGGAAGAACAAGAAGCAGCAGCACTGGATCTCTCCATTTCACATGCTTCAAATTCCACTTCAGTGTCGGCAGCTTCAAAGCAGAGCATGACATCCAGTGTTCAGTCCAGCTCACCTGCATATTCCGGTTGTTCAGACTCCGAATCAACTGATCTGTTGGCTAAACGAACTCTGCCTGGGCCAGCTGGAGTGCTCACAGTCCACAGCTATGCTAAGGGGGATGCCAGTGGATCCGACAGTGAACAGGCTTCAGGGAAGAAAGCCAGTGCCACCACCAGCATGAGTGAGCAAGAGCTGACAGAGGTATGAATGGCAGGAGGACTGAAAGCTGAAGGGCTGTATTCCATGGTCATGGATCTGCTGTGACAAAACTTCCTGGCTGTGCAGATTACATTTTTGTCCCATTGGGGTTTGCATAGCAGAGTGCTTAGTTGTTAGTTTTTTAACACGTTAGCTGAACAAAAATTCAGATGAAACTCTTACACTCTTACTTCTAGAAAGCAAGGTTATGCCTTGTTTTGAGAATTGTCTAAACTAGTTCAGTGCTGTAAAGGAAAGGATAGTTTGATGGTTTTGACATGGTAGTGATTGAGGTCCTTTTATAGTAATAGACACCTGTTTGTACCTAGAATCAATCTGGTTCCATCCAGCCTTTATTACAAGCACATTGATAATCTGAGGGGTTTCTTAACATAAAATTGCATACATGGGTACATCTCTGTGTCCCTTTTAAAAAAGAAGAAATGATGGAACAAAAATTACTGGTTGGGAGATGTAAATCAGGGTGTTTCAGAACTGCCAATGAATGGCAATATCAGAATGGCAATATTAAACAACCTAAGAGGAGGTTATAAGAGTTAAAATCTTACCTGGTGGTGTTTTTTCAATATTTCCTCTTTAAATCTGTTTAGAGAATGGGAGGTCAGTAATGATTATGTCCCAAAAATTCAGGTATTACAGAAATAGAACAGCAAATGGGTTTATCTCTTGATAATGAAGCTGAAACTTGGAAGAGTTCTCATGGCTATTTAAAGTGAAGAAATGTGATTGCAGATACTGATGTCTCCATTGTATGCTCTAAAAAGGGAAAAGGTGAAATTTTGAATGGGTGTGGATTGTTTTCCCCGGTGTGGTGTATTTCAAAACAAGTTTTTCATCAGATGGTAACTGGCAATGCTAATTTCTGTGTCAGTGTTTGTTAGAAGTCTTGTATCCAACTCTGTGTAGGAGATCAGAGGTAATGATTGTTATGCTCTCCTCTGGCTTCTTTTATGAGAAGAAGTATCTAAAAATACGTAAGATGCGTTTCATCTAAGATTCGCTTCTGCTTTTAAAAGAATAACATTTTTTTTAAAAAAAGGGTTCTTCTCTACTGAGAAACTTCCTGGGCTGTTGAAATCATTGCCTTTATTGCCCTGCTGGTCAGGTTAGTAGTAATTTTGTCAGTGGGTCACTTTATTTTTACATAAGGCCAAGGAAGGAGGAAATAACTATTATTATAGTCTCTTTCTTCCGGTCTGGTAAGACACCAGTGCAAGTAATAAGCAGAAAGGGTGAAAGTGTCCTTCATTTCAAATAAGCCTGTTAGCTTAAGATGTCAGTGCACTTTGTATCTTTCTTGTGTGGATTTTTTTTTCACTTTTAAATTTGGAATTTTCAAGTGGCACACAAACTCCACTACTCATGAGACTTCTTACCAAGTCTCTTCTAAGTTGAGCCATTTAACTTGTCTTTCTTTACACAATTCTTATATAAGCAGACTTGCATGAAAAGCTGCTCTGGGACATGAGAAGTGTCCATTCTGCTGGCTCAACAGAGCTAGTACAGCTCTGTCTGTTTTTTCATAGCAAAAGTGCTATGAGCACTTCGAAAAACTTAGCCAGTTCAGAGCTGAGGTTAGTTTGTTAGTAATAAAATTGTGGAACCATGTGTGCATTTTGGAGAAATTATCTTTAAGTTCAGAATAAACTCCTCTAAAATAATGTTGAAAGGACATGTTCTAACTGACAGCTGAATTGCTTCTCCTTGTCTAGGAAGCAAACGAGTACATAAGGTCAGTGAAGGAAAGTAAGAAGTCCAAGGGTCGTCGCCAGCCGTTGAGCAAGCTCCCACGCCATCACCCACTCTTGGTTAAGGACTGCGTTAGTGATGATGGTAAGCAAAGCCTTAATGCTCTTTGGGAAGCCACATCTCGAGAGGGTCTCAGCTTCTGTGGACAGTGTGGGGTATTCCATTACGTAACTGACGATAAACAGGAGTCAGCAAGGGACACCTGCATCCCAGGCAAGGTGCTTACCTCATTTTTCTTGTTCTTGCATTGTTGAATTTCTCGAATGGTGTCATCTTTGTTTGCTCCTGTTCTTTGGAAAGTCACAACCCTGAAAGGAAGATTAAACCAGTACCAGAGACTGTTGTATAATTGTGTCTCCTGTGGGGCACTCCAGTCACTGATGTAAATATTCATGATTTCAAAAAAAAACCCCAATGCCAGATTCTTTGGCTGACAGCTTTAGTCTTGATGTAGTTTGGAGCTGGTGCTGTTCTCACCCAGTAAGTCTATCTTGTGTCTGCACGGTTGCTTGATTAGTAGAAGCCTCTTAAAAAGGAGACTGAGTTATTTGCTTCCATCACCCATCTGTCAGTTTGATTTCTGGCAGTCTTTCCTTCATCTCCATTCATAGCTTCTTGCGTTACTTAGTTTCGTTGCAAGAAGGGTATCTGTAAAAGGACACAATCACTGAGTGAGTGATCTCTTGTTGCAGAGGCATCAGAGCAGCTAAGCCCTGAAGAAGAGGCTGAGGAGACAGAGGCATGGGCCAAGCCACTTAGCCAGTTGTGGCAGAATCGGCCACCAAATTTTGAGGCTGAGAAAGAATACAATCGGACCATGGCTCAGCAGTCTCCCTACTGTGCTGTTTGTATGCTCTTCCAGACGTATCAGGTATGAAAACAAGTCTGTTAATGTTATCACAGAGATAACAAATAGGATGCTGCAGTGATACGTAGTCTTAAATACCTCATTTTGTACATTGCTAGTTAACAAAAGCTGTATCAATGTTGCAGTCTTCCCAAAGAATTGTTTCAGGAGAGCACAGGTGGGTGAACCTCTTCACACCTGAACCCATGCCTATGGGTTCTCAGGGATTCACTCAGTTGTTCAGCGGAAGCTTTTGTGTTCTGTGGCTTTTACTCAAACCACAGAATGGAGCTGGAATGTTGCTGGAGCTGACCATGAAATCCCATTTTGCTTTTCCAGACTGCTAACCTTCGATTCTACACTTTTTTAAAACTCACTTTAAGTCCACTCATAGCACATTGTTTTTGGGGAGCTGGCAAGGAAGAAAACCTTTTACTTAAAAGTATTTAGGGTTGTGTTTGTAGATGGTATAGGTAGAAAGCTGCCTTGTCTTGGAATGTATCCACACTGACAGTTGCTATGGCACGTGAAAATATGCTTTAACAAAGTGCATAGCATGGGGTGGAGCACAGAACCCCTTTGTTATGTTGACTAAGTGCTTACTCAGGAGTCCCACACTGAGTATTTTGATATGCCTAAGCTAAGAAGTTCTATGGTAGTTTGAATTGTTTTCTGATTGCATGTTTGACCTGCAACTTTGAGATAGTTTGACCCTTCCCAGATGCTAAGCATATTTGATTCACTTGAAATCACTGTGTGGATATGGTGACACTAGAAACATGTTCACCACAGTTTTGGAAATAAATACCTCAAATTTGTGCTGAAGGTTTATATTGCATATAGCTCCTAATTTTCATGGAAACCATAGGCAGTAGTTTCTGTTCAATTTTGCTGTTTCTGGCTGAGAGTAGGTTCTTGTTAGGACTGGAAATTCTGTATAGGATCCATGTTGTACATGGGGATTTCACTAGTGCTGACAATTTGAGGACAGTTGAAGTTCTGTTAGCTTCTTTTTTTTTTGAGTTGCTATTAAGCAGAAAACTGTAACTGCAGCTTTTCAAATCTCTGTCTACACCAGGCACTGAAAGAGAAACTCTTCCAAGATCTGAGCTGTGGTTGGAGTCTTTGTTTCAAATTTAGAAAGTCTATAGCAGGTCTGGGAACTCACTTCAGTTATCCCTTCAAATAAAAAATTGGCACTCATTACCAGTACTTTTCCTTTCTGAAGAAGAAAAGTATCTAGCTGCTTGGGGAATAAGTCATGTTTTCTTCAACTTTGTTACAGATTTCCCTCAGTCATTTTGGTGTTTTGCTTGACATGCAATGTTCAGTGTAAATCAGTAGTTTTACACAATCTGACTCAAAAAGACTTGTTGAAAACATGTCCATTTCCTTCCGACTGTGAGCCTTGCCAAGACTTTTTTTCCCTAACTTTTGATGCACTATAGGAGGGACAGTGCAGCTTCATTCTGCTAACAATATTTTTAAAGATAAGGTAAACTACTTCTGTGGTGACCTATGAGATACAAATTATTGTTTGAAACATTAATCTCTTTTTGAGGCAGTTTCTGTTTAGCTGTTCAGAAGAGTAAGTTGAATGGAAACATCTCTGTGAACTTTGTATTTAATTGCTGTTTGGTTTCACACAAGTTTAGATTAATAAACTACAAAAGATTAGCCTGAAAGTCTCCTGAGATTTATCTGGAAAACTCCATTTTTAGTCTGCTTATTTCCCATAAACAAAGTCGTTTTAAAGCCCATTAGGCTTGTTCAGAGCCACACTGGGAAAAAAAACCAATGAGGATTGCAGTAGGTATCTATTTGTGTGTTCATAATCCTCCCACACTGAGGTGAGATAAACGTACAGTGGTGGATAGCAGTGTGATGATCCTCTATTACAGCACAGGGGGATGAACTAGAGGTGTTGCCTGTAGAGCATGAGGTGGGCTTGGTGATTCCATCTCTTCTGTCAGTGGAGATGCAGTTTGATATGTATCTTGTTGCTCATTAAACAGATGCAATTCAAACTGCATTTTGCATTTGGGTAGAGAAAAAGTTTCATTCAGCATATGAGGATTTTATAAACTAACTATATTTTCACCTAACCTGCCAGCTCTTTAATCATTTAGCACCTTTGTTCTTTCTTTAATCTGGATTTATGTGTGACATAATGGGTGGGTAAAGATGATGTGAGGCTGTTTTACTTGTAAAACTTAATCTCCCTGTCCATCCCTTACAGGCAGAGTGTGGAGCCAACAGTCAGAACTCTGGAGTGACTCCAGCTGCTGTGGATGGGAAGATCCGAACTAAACCTCTGATTCCTGAAATGTGCTTTACTGCAACTGGCTGCAGCACTGACCTCAATCTTTCAACTCCCTACCTAGAGGAAGATGGAACCAGTGTACTTATCACCTGCAAGAACTGCCATGTCTGTGTTCATGCAAGTGAGTGCATCTAGATGTAACTCTGATGTTCTCTGTAATAAGTCTGTATGTCCCAGCAGGCCTCTGTCTACACTCCACTTCATGTACAAATAGGTCAAGTTTAGCCGTTATCTGAGCAGTGTATCCTTGAGTGCTGGTTTATGGAATAAGGAAGTGGCTGCGTGGGTAACTTCAAATACACAGCATCATCCATAGGCTTGTTGATTTTAATTCCTGCTTTGCTTCTGGGCCCAAGTGGAATGAGTTTGAGTTTATATATGTCCACACATAAGTGTTACGTGTCTGTTGTAGGTTGTTACGGTGTATCCCCTGACAAGGCCACTGAAGACTGGATGTGCTCCAGGTGTACAGAAAATGCCTTAGAAGAGGTAAAATTTCTCATAGATGGAGTCTGCTACATCTGGGAACTTGGCTACAAAGTTAATTTCCATAGCGTTGTGGGTGTTGGGTTTTTTTAATTATCCTGTGAAAAGAGCACAATTTAGAGGATGTTTGAGTCAGTCTCTTGTATTTTGATGCTTTGAAACCATAATGATATCATTTTAGCTGGGGCAAAGCTGCTGAGCTCACTTGAGTCAGAGGAAATATGTTCTGCATGAATGTGGGAATAGTTCCATTGTTTGTCTTAATTTATGGTAGCTACTCTTTCTAAACCAGAAAGCAAGTTGTGTTAGTAAGTGGGGAGGTGCGCATATGTAAAGAAAGCAAGAATAATGGGATTCCCTCAAACAGCTCTACAGGCTAAATCAGCAGAATGGGTCAGCCTCTCCAAGTGTATTTACTCATGTTTGTTACACATCCTTTTACACATCCTCAAAGGATATGGGGTATTGCAGTTGTAAAAGGAACCCGTAACAAACAAGTTGAACAAGTCTTCAGTGGTAGATCTGCTTGCCTTCAACAGACTTGGAGTCTGTATGTTACCCTAAGGTCAGCAGCTGTTGAGAGCTGAAGGGCTGACCTGTGCAAGGTAATTAGCTCTCTTCTGACAGCGAAACCATTTTCTTCCTCTGGATGTGCATTTTGAGGTGCAAGTTCTTCAGCAAGTGTACTGCTCTGGACTTCACTCTTCCAGCTAATGCTTTCTTCCTTGCTCCAGGACTGCTGTTTGTGTTCATTACGAGGAGGAGCGCTGCAGAGAGCCAATGATGACAAGTGAGTGTTCCAGATTGTTTTCGTCGTATGGGAGAAGCTGAATTCCTAAGTATCTGAAGGTTACCTGTTAAACAGTGTCTGCATTTGGTGTAATGGAGCTACCAACAACACCCTTCACACTTTGTGTTACTGGGAAGGCTGCAGTGAAGTGTGTTCATTCTGTTGTCGTGTGTCATCTCTTCCTGTAATGCCTCATTTTCATTCTGTTGATAGCGGTTAATTGCTTTGAATTTTATGGTGCAGAGCTGTAATGTACAGAATTATAACCACATAAAAATAAGGTTCCTGATCAGATAACATCTCTCAGTACCTTCTCACAGAGGACTTTGATTTCTTCATCTAATTTGTGGTGACATGGAGACAAAGGACAGCCGTAGCTTTAAGCAGCACAACATACTGAAATTCAGGGTACCTCTTCAGCAAACTGTGTGTCCTGTGTCCTCTGGTGTGGTGGATCATCTGAAGTTATTTGATGCAAGGTAGCAATGGGGCAGATTTGTAGCACCGTGAAATAACTGGAACTTTGTTGGGAAAGGTGAAGGTTCCGCGCGGGGAAGCAGGCGGCCAACTCCGTGTGGGTGATACAGCAAGCTCCAACTTTATTGTCCGACAGGCTCTTTTTTATACAGTGCCGCCCAGGCATACAATTATCCATCACTTTTAATTGGCTAAGCTCTAAAGATAGCATTCAGGTACTCCCCTTCCTCACAGCTGCAGCGGTGAGGCTTATCTCCTGCTTTCCCAGGCTTGGGGGCATTCCTAGCTGTTTTTCTCGAACCTGTTTGTTTCACCCTCAAGGACGAGTTACCCCTGCCATCTGCCCAGCTGAGTTACTCCCTATCTATATATAAGTTACTGTCTCCAGAGCCTTGCTTGTACACACTGCATTCCCAGGTGCGTTCCCAGGACTGTGTCTGTACGTTCCCAGGGGACTGCGGCCTAGCTCTTCTTGGCCTTCCCCAGGATTATATCCCTGCTCTCTTAGCCATTCTCCAACAGAACTTGGCCTCCAAACATTTTTGCTGATGTTATCTGGAGTCTCACCTTTTGGTCACAGTCTTGAAAGTAATTCAGTAGTGACTGAGCAGTTGCAATGGGGCACCTTTGTGAGGGAGTTAACCTGTCTGGCAGCCTTTTATCATGCAGGTATGAAGAAATCTTGATTTGCCCCATGTGTGCCCTGTTACTAGCAGTAGGAAGACTACACTGCTGGTTCTGAGAGGCTGTTTATCTTGGTTAATGTGGCAAACTTTAACAGTACTGTATTTACTTAAACTCCAGAGCATCCTCTTTTGGCCTAATGAATATTAATTTTTTTCCTCTCTTCTGTCCTGACAGGTGGGTTCATGTGATGTGTGCTGTGGGTGTACTGGAGGCTAAATTTGTGAACATCGCAGAGCGGAGTCCTGTGGATGTTGGCAAAATCCCCCTGCAACGTTTCAGACTGGTAAGGATCACCTGTGCTTGTGATGGTGTCTCTCCAGTCCATTCAGAATCTGAGGGACTTTGCTTATCCCTTCAAACCCAAGTCGTCTCCTCTCCAGACTGAACAATACATTCTTCTCTGTTCTGTGTGTGGGAGATGGCAGTTGTTCCTATTGCAAGTTTTGAACCTTTCCCTGTTAGTGTGTGTTTATTCACATGAAGAGCCAGCAAAGGGGGGCACAGTTTTCATTATGCAGCAAATGACATCTATACAATAGTGTAATGGTGCTCATTTGTTGTGCTTTTAGTTTTTTTCATCCCTGCTATTTAACTTGCTTTGTTGACTGCTCTCAAGCACTGAGAGGCTTCAGGATATGTGAGGCATTTGTACGAGGGGTGAAGTGAGAAAGCAACTGTGCTTAAACTCTTTTAACAGCTCAGCCTTGAGGGGAAAATTGCTCTAACTGCTTTGCATATACTAATGCATTACAGATAACATTCTTTTCCTTCAACAGCCCAGCAGGCCTGACCCAAGTGTAATTGAGTCACTGGTAGCAGTGATAGAATTTTAACTGTTGCTTCTGTGGTCTTTGCCCATTATTCTAATCTTGTTGCTTGTCTTTATGTAACTTAATAGTCAAGTGCTGAAAGGCTCTATTGAGCTGGTGCATCTAAGGCTGATTTAATCTAAGATCTCCTGTTGCTAGCATCCTTGGGTCTAGTGCTTTGTGCGTGTTGAGCTGGTAGATATTTAATTTACATTTTTCATCTGTTGGGTTATTTTTATGAATTATTGTCTTGTGATAAACTGGAACTGGTAGCTGCCTGCTTCTGTTTAGTTAGCAAGCAGCAATGCTCTCGCAGAGACTAATGGTACAGCTTTTATAGTATTAGCTATTATAGCTAGACCCACTAGCCCTTTGTGTGGGCTAAAAGCTAGTGCCAACTGATAACCTCTAATTTCCTGTCCACAGAAATGCATCTTCTGCAAGAAACGAAGAAAGAGAATTGCAGGTTGCTGTGTACAGTGCTCACATGGTCGGTGTCCCACATCTTTTCATGTCAGCTGTGCCCAAGCAGCAGGAGTCATGATGCAGCCTGATGACTGGCCATTTGTTGTCTTCATTACCTGCTTCAGGCACAAGACCCCATCTCAGGCAGAGGTGAGTAGGTGTGTGATTCCCAGGATTTGAACTGCAGTATCTTGGAGGGACTGAAAAGTTTTAGATTGTGATTCTTTTGAAACTTCATTGAAGACTTGGCTCTCTCTTGCTGCCCTGAGTGATTTTAGTCAGGTCCTTTATTGTACTTTGGTTTGCAGCCCAGGACTGAGAGCATCACATCCCTCCTGTGGCTGTTGTAATGAGGAATAGTAGTGGTGTTCGTGCTGTGATACTTAATATGCAGGAGTTAGTGCTGAGACTCCAGCAGGCTGCATGAGTGGTCATAGAATTTCGCGTTTAAGTGATCAATTAGTTTATAAAGTTCCCATGTAGCATTTTTAACCAGAACTACAACAATCAATTAGAGAATGTGTACTATAAAGCTTTGCCTCGCATTGCTCTGAAGAATCAGAGCTTAATTTACTCAGTAAATTAAGGACAGAATCATCTAACAGATTAGGCTTTAGGCATTTGAAATTCTGGAGATAGGACTTCTCTAAAAATGCTGCTGATGGTGTATTGAGTAACTCAACTAAAATGTTTCGCTTTGTTGTCTGCCAGCACTGGAGCTATGATTCTCAGCACATTCTTCATTAAGTCATTGTGTAAAAAGTGATTTTGAGGTTTTTTTTATTTTCTTCTCAGCGAGCTAAGGCTGCACTCCAGGATCTGTCACCTGGACAGATAGTCATCAGCAAGCACAAGAATGGTCGCTTCTATCAATGTGAAGTGGTCAGCCTTGCAAAGGAGACTTTCTATGAGGTCAACTTTGATGATGGCTCCTTCAGTGATAACCTGTACCCAGAGGACATTGTGGTATGTTACACAGTGGGAATCTGGCTCTGGTAGGGGTCATGTCATGTGGATCAATTCTTGCTGCTGCAAAGCAGGCACATCAGGGGATCTGGTAACTGTTTCAGCCCTGGGTCCTGTGGTGGCTGAGATGTACTGCAGGATGGCCTTAGAGGTGTTGCACAAGACTGACTTAAGTGAGGGCTTATAGGGACAGGTGTAACAGGAAGGGCAAGTAATCTCTGGCTTCTTAACAGTGGCAGGTCAAAGAAAAACTTCCTCTGTCAAGTACTTTGAGTTTGGGTTCACTGTTGGGATATAAATAGAGATGACATAGATGGGTGTCTTGCAGCCTAGTTCTCCATCCCTAGAATGGAGAGCAGTTGTTGGGGTGCAGTGTGTCTGGTATGGGCTCCCCGGTGGTTTGCTGAATCTTCACATAAGGAAGCTTGTCTCTCCCATCTTCCCCCTTTATTCTAGAGTCGAGACTGTCTTCAGCTAGGTCCCCCTGCTGAAGGGGAAGTCGTGCAGGTGAGATGGACAGACGGACAAGTTTACGGAGCCAAGTTTGTCGCATCACATGCTATCCAGATGTACCAGGTACAAAATCATCTGAAAATTTGTCACTCAGAACAAGCCTATCATCTTAACAGGGCTGATCTTAAAACCAGAAGAGCTATAGGGGAGTCATGCTTAAACACTTCAGGGCGAGTTACTCTGTAATGTCAGCAGTGCCAGGTGCTGGTAACAGTTGCTGGAGTAAAGAGCAAAGTGTAACTGCACTTATATCTGGCTACCTATGTGAAAGTGTCCACCTCTGAAAATTGCTGGTCTGAAATTCTAGATCAGACTCTGCTCCTGTAGCTTAAACTTCTTAAAATAAGTTTGGTTTTGCTTTTCTCTGTTTAGTGAGAATACACCATGCCTTACAGACAGCCTTAGGCATGAATGTTCAGGCTGTATTGAAGTGACCAGCCAGACTGTCTTGGCAGGTTTTACAGGGATATCCCCGAACTTGCTGTGTCACTTTTACTGTCATGAGGTTGGTGAGGTTTTGGTTAAAGTCGGTTTCAGTGTACGTAGCTGCAAATGTATCTCACAAATTAAAAGTGGTAGAAGATTATTTCGTGAGAGGCCTCTGTGGGGAGGAGAAGGCGAGTTCTGGGTAGCTGTGGGGGGGTTCTAACTTCTGAGGCTTCTGGCAAAACAACTTTGATTTTCTACTAGGTGGAATTTGAAGATGGGTCACAGCTGATGGTGAAAAGGGATGATGTATATACTCTTGAGGAGGAGCTTCCTAAGAGAGTGAAGTCAAGGCTGGTAGGTAAAAGGGGTGCAGATGTCTACAAAAGAGGCTCACTTGACTTAAATTGTCTTTGAATAGCAAGCTGAGCGCATGGCAGCAGCAGATTGCAGTCTGGTGTGCTCTCCTCAATCATTGCAAAGCTCAGCAGTTGATCAGGCTACGAAAGCAAAGTTCTATCTTGCTCTGGAGAGAATTTCTCCTGCAGGGATGTGAGTTTGTAGCGTAGAGTCACTGATTGGGACAGCACATTCATACCATTTCATACCTGTAATTCTAAGCTTCATTGTCTACTCCCACTGGAAAGAATGACCAAGTTCCTTTGCTTACCCTTTGTTCTGAAAAGCTCTTAGTAGGTAGCATCAGGAGAGCTGGTTGTTTTTTGAAATTATAAAATAATTCAGGTGAGGAAGGACTTCTGCAGGTCTCCTGACATCTGTTCCAAGCAGGGGTAACGTCTCAGAAAGGGTTACTCAGGACTCTCTCCAGTCAAGTTTTGATTAGCAACAAAGATGGAGATCCCACAGCCCTGTGTTCTGTTGCTGTACACTTCCCACTAGAAAACTGTAGCTATAGGCAGCGTGCTTGGATATCTTGCTTTACAGCACAAGCATGCACACCCTGATGCAGATCTGTTGGCAGGGACACAGGACGTTAGAGGTTTGAGAAAGAATGTATCAAAGCTGAATCTTGTGACCAGGTGTGTAAACATGCCTGCTCCATAAAGCAGAAATTGTACTAGACTGCTTGAGAGTTGAAACAGCTGACTCTGGTTACTGCTTTAAGAAAGTGATTGTGAACTTGAGTCAGGTACTCAGTTAAATTTGAAACCTGACATTCTTTACATCTCTGATTACAGTTCACTTAAACTTACCCCCAGATATGTAAATCCAGTTTCTTAAATGTTTCTCTTCTTGTGTTTGGCCAGTTTTTGAAGAAGGCTGAAAGTTCCCAGTGTCTTAACTCGGTTCTTTCTTACACGCAGTGGGAGGATGTGGAGGCAGGGATTTGATCTGTGTTCTAGTGACTTACTCTTGTCTTTTTCTCATAGTCAATAGCTTCAGATATGCGCTTCACAGAGATCTTCGCAGAGAAGGAGGTGAGACAAGAGAGGAAGAGACAAAGAGTGATCAATTCACGCTACCGTGAAGATTACATTGAACCTGCCTTGTACCGGGCCATCATGGAGTAAGCACTGCCTGTGGCAGAGGAAGAAGATGCCCACCTCCCCCAAGGATTTCAATGTTCCAGTACAACAGGCCATATTTGGATGCTTCGGATCCAAGGGGTTTTGGGGGGTTTTGTTCTTTTATTTTTAAGGAAGCTAAAAAGCTGATGCTCTGCAGTAGCTGAAAGGCAGCTGTTGGATAGTAAACCAGATTCCATTTGCTGAAGCTGATGTCTGCAGACTGCTGGTCTGAAGTTCTGTCCTTACAGAATAAGACAGATTGAGTGTGTTGCTTTCATCTTGTTGAGCTGTCTTGCTCTTTTGTTTGAGATGATTTTGACAGGTGGCAAACTCTTTTAGGAGTTGTAGCCAGAAATCTTGGCAGCTGCAGAATAGTATGGTCTATTGTTTTAATTGAATAATGTTCCTGAATTTAGGAATCAACTTGGTGGCTACACCTGGGAGACTCGTAAGACCTGGGCTTGAGCAGGCAGTATTACTGGTGCTTGAAATGGAACCTCTTTTATATTTATATCCACCTTTTTGTCGCAAGCAGCTTCAGTCTCTTGTTTCTCAGCACCACCTTTCTGAGGTCGAGCTATAGGCTGTTCAGATCTGAGCAGACAGGCGGTGCTTGTGTGAACAGAAATGTGAAATTGAATCCTATAGGACAAATTATTTAACCTTCCATTTAATACTTTTGTTCTGATAGTGCTTTTGACTTACTTAATCATAAGTTTAACTGTAGTAGTATGTGCCTGAGAACCAACGAAATCTGTCTGGAGCCCTGTGCAGTGCAGCCTTCTAACAAGAATAGGTGTTCAGCTCCCAATAGACATTCAGCTCCCAAAGAGTTTCTTTTTAGTTTCTCCCCACCCCCTCTAAGGCAATAATGACCAAAGGGAGAGAGTCCTAACTCTCCCTTCTTGAAATCCAAGTGTCACAGTGTTGGGGATGACGGGGCAGCAGTATCTGAGGCAGTGCAGTCCCTTGTCTGGCAGCACTGTCTATCATGTGCCCGCAGGCTTTTGCTTACAGCAGCTAATACTGGGTCTGAGACAGATAAAGGAAGCATGCACTGAGCTGTATGTGTTACTGAAAGGCTGTGCAATGCTCTTCTGAAGCAGGAATACTGCCATGTTGCTGCCTGGCAAAGGTTACAGTAGCATTTTTATAGAGTATTGGTAGGACACATCTCAGTTGTGTTGGAGAGAACTTGCTAGCCCAGCAATAGGAAGCCGAGTTGAGCTGGGTAGCAGGTATACCTGGAAGATGTGCCAACTTGCTCCTAGTAATTTAAGCATTAATATACCACAGCAGGAGCAGTGTAAATACATGTTCCTTTCCCATTCTGTCGGAAAGGGATTTTTAGGCTGTGGAGCAGATTGGCCACCTTCTTTTTGCATGGAATGATGGGGTGAATTTTCCTACTGGAGAAAATTATGATTGCGTGTTCTCCAGAAACTGTTCAAGAGGAGAATTTTCTAGTGAAACAGACCTAATGCATCCCTGCTTCTATAGGGACCTGGCAATGTGTCTGCGAAATCTGAATTTGTAACTTTTTTCCTTTTGTTACATAGGAACGCTATAAACCAAACTCTTCTGAAACCCCGGTGCATCGATTTGTGATTAGCAATAAAATGTAGTATTGTGTAGTGATACAACTCTTGATCAGAAAAGAAATAAACTACAACTTTTATACAGAAAATCTTACTTAGCTCTACATTTTTATAGGGTCAGGAGGCCAATATGAGTAGCAAAGATTTGCACAACCACTGTTTTGCATAGAGGTAATTGTCCTATTTTTGTGGTGGAAGACCTCGTTCATCAGTATTGGAAGGCTTCAACAAATTCTGAAATAGTGGCTTTTTTCTGTGGGTTTTGATTTGCTTTTTCCCCCCCCCCATGCCCAAAACTCTGGTCTCAGGGTATTAAATGGTTTTCTGATGAATAGGATAGTTGGCTTGATAAAACCAGGATCCATTAAGAACGGAGTCTGGTAGCTGTAGTTACTCTGGTCCGGGCAATAGGAATGAAATTGCACAGGCTTGTACGTAAGCCTCTCTGAAGTGATGTGCTGTGAGCAAACATGGGGAAGAGCTGGCAGGGCCTTTAACAGAGTTCTGTCAGAGTTAATTTGATATTAACTTCTCACAGGCTGAAAACTGCCTGTGTGTTACTGAAAACATACTCTGTGGATCAATCTGCTGTAATCCCTCCAGAGGAGAGGTGCCTATGTTCAGACTTTCTCCCCAAACTGCCATATAACGTAAATGCACCTTTTTGGTGCTACATGCTACCTGTGCTACCTGGCTCAACAGCTTCATCCTAAAATTATGGCCTAGTACAAAACAGCTGGATTTGTTTGGAGTGCTGTTCTTGAGCCTGTTCTTGGAGTTGTTCAGAACAACAGGGCCGGGAGTTGGACTTTGATGATCCTCATGGGTCCTTTCCAACTCAGGATGTTCTATTTGATGTTCACCTGCAGCAGGTTTTGCCACCCACCTCTAACAGTATTGAGTGGCTTTCAAGAGCTCCTGTGCGTAGTGTTTGTTTTGGAAGAGGAGCTTTATTATGCTGTGTTTTCTGCAGGCTCCGGATTTGCTCTTGTCAGTTGGCTGCACTGTGTTGGAAACTGCTGCCATCCTGCACTCTGAGACAAAGGACCTTCCCAATTTTCCTATCAGTGCTTTTGCTGCATCATTCAAACGTGAGCATACTGTACCTACTGCAGTGACTAAACTGCATTTTGGCTTCTCTCTGTGAACTTAAATTTGGTGACCCTGATGTTCAAGGGGTCTGTATGATGTGACTTTGCAAAAGCAATTGGCTTTATGGCTTGAAGTAAAACAGGTAGCAATAAAAGCTCTGTACAGAGCAGCTGTCTGAAAGGTACATATGCTTTCCGTTACCTAGACGTTCATGTCTGGTAATAGTTTTCTCCAGTGGTTTTGGTTTGGAAGTGTATTTATCCCTGTTATAGCATCATTCCAGTGAGGGTGAGGTGCTGCCAGAGTATGAGCTAGGCAGGTTTCTCTTGAATGTGTTCAATACAAACTCATGCTCAATGTGCCCCACAGGAGCTCTGGTGGCCATTTGTTGGATCCATTGCATGTGGTGCTGCAAGCAGTAGTTCTCCTTATTTCACTGTTCACATGTTCCATCCGTGACTGGTTCAGGTTGGACTTGCAAGAAACATTTCTTTGTATAAACAAATAATGGCTTGCCATTAATTCAGGATGAGCTTTGCAAGCCAGTGATAACTTTTCATAAGATTTAAAAAGGTGACTATGTTCTTTGTAAAGCACCTGACTGCAGTAATGTTTCTGCCTGTGGCTGGACTTCTAGGAGACCTCTTTTCCATTAGCACACCCCTCAGATGACATGGGGCAGTACTGTCAGTAGTAGGACCCATTCTCCCTGCTCCTTCTCTCTCTTCCCAGTGTTTTGAGCTGGGTCAAATTGATTCTGCACTGTTTGAGGAGCACAGTCAGATATCCCAAGGCTTCCAATGCATCTCTGTTCTTCCATTCTTCAACCGGGCTCCTGTTGTCTGGCATGTCTGCAGTTGTGCTTTTTTTTTTTTTTTTTTTTAATGCAAACATGGGATGGAATCAAGACTCTGGTAGCCTGTATATTGTTTTCAGTTTCTTCAAGTAATAAATCTAATTTCAAAATGGACAATCTGTAAACTAATTTAAGAACTAAAGCAATGTAACTTGGAAATTCTCATCACGCTTCTCATTTTTCTATTAGCATTATTCCTTTCTAATACTCATCTCCTTAATGTATATCCAGTTCTTGGGTGTCTTTCAGAGACCTAAGCAGAGTTCTATTGTTTAAGGACTCAGTCCAGCATGGCTGTTCTGCTAGAACAGGGACATAACCACAGAGTCATCTCTCCTTGTTGAAACACAGAGCTGAAACATCTGCAGTAAGAGCTGAGTTGCCTTAGATTCTCTGTGTAGCTGAGAGTGCCAGAAGAGGACTCATCAGAAAATATTACCTGGGTACTGTCTCAAATAGCTCTGTTCTTTACTTCGGTGTTGGCTCTTGAATTTCACAGTGCTGGTTAAGACTTCATGAACTGGCAGTCAGGGAAAGGATATTCTTCTGACTTAGCTCAGGGATTTTTGTTACTGATACACCAAGTGACCTTGAGGAATTTGCTTATTCATTGTAGTGTTATTTCAGTCAGTATCTTTGAAGACTAAAGTGCCAGGTATTCCTGGAGCTAGCTTTTGTACCTTGGGGAAAATGGTAATGTCTCCTTTTCCCTGACAAATTTGTAGATACTACGCAGAACCTTTCAGCGTGTGCACTTAGCTTAATGTGAAGTATGTAGCATTTTCAGTTCCACATGAACAACATGTGGTATTGCTAAA